ATTTTTTTTCTTAATAATGATATTTAATGGGTTAAAATAATGTTTATTGTTCAAAAGTCCTTATCGGTCAGCGCGAACGGGACGCGCATCACCCGCTTTTAGCGCTATTTTCGCCTTTAAATTAAAATTATAAATATTGGTGATAAAGTTTCAAGGTGTGGGACTTTTTTTAGGAATTTCCCTCCTCTTTATGGATCTTTTTTAAAATTTCGGATATTTTTAATACTTTCCGAGATATTTGCAAAAAAACAACCCCCCCTTTTACTAAACTCTTTATAACTTTTGCAATTTTTTCGAGCCCCTCTTGAAATTTTTTATGAAGTTGCTAGAAGTCACTCCGAATCGATTGAGCCCTGGATCATAATTTCCGGTGCCCTTGGACAAAAGTTCCAAGAAAAAGATCTTGTGACCCAGACTAAGAAGGCAACTTACGTTCCATTTAACCTTCCTTGTAGGATCTACCGTTTCCGAGATAGCAACAATAGTATCAGCTAAAAAACGGCCTCTTTAATCCTATGAATGATTATAGAAACATTCGTGTTTCGGGATCTTAAACTTGAAGAAACGCCAATATGTTTTTCGATTTCCTGGTTCTTATCTCCCCCTTTATGACACACTGTTTGTAGGTCTAGCGGTAAAATCTACGACGCAGAATTAATCTGATGAAAATTACTTTCCTTAACATGATAAGAACTTTGAAATAGAAAAAGTATTTCACAATTTCTGCATTGGTGGAAGTTTCGTCAGATACCTTTCTATTTTTGAAAACAAATTGTAGTCTCTCTACAATTTAATTAAAACTTTTCCAACATGATAATGCCATCTTTAGTGATCCTTATCAGCTTCTAGATTCAATCCTTCTCTAATGTGAAATGTGAACTCATGAAAGAAGAAAGTTCAGTTAGTTCTTGAAGAAAACAGTTTGAATTAATTACAAAGTTGAATCCAGAGATTTTTGTTCTGGATATTTTCTTCCTAATGTTTGCACATTTTTTCCTTTGAAGTTTTGTAACATGATTGTTAAGTAAGTCAGAAACGGACGTGTAATCGAAAATTTCAAAGAACACGTCAATTTTTATTTCTAGGGGGACTAATTCTAATATGGAAATCATACCTGAAACTTCATCCTCCTGAGGTCAGCAATTACCCCCCATTTTTTAATAGCATTGGGGTTCGAGTGATACATCATATGAAAGATCTTTTGTCCCTCCATTACCTCGGTAATATTTTTTTCGAAATTGGTTCATTCGTTATTGAGAAATTGAATGTTGAACGTTTTATTTAAAAAAAAACAGAAAATTCGCTGTCGTTCATTCTAATGAGAAAGTCAACAACATATAATATCAGTGAAAACCAAATCAACGGATAAATTGTTCAAAATGACCTCCACCTAGTTCAGTACAATAATACAGTCTACTCTCGAAAGCGTTCCTTACATTATTCAAGATGTCTGGAGTCAGCAATCTTCATTCCTGAACAATTCTCTGTCGCAGGTCTTCTAGATTTGTAGGCTTAGTAGAGTACACTTTCGACTCCAGGTGTCGAAAAAGTTCATCGGTGTGAGATCAGGTGATCTAGCTGGCCACTCCACTGGACCTCTTTTGCCGATCCAACGCATTAAAAACGTACGTCGAAAAACTGTCCCACCCGAACATCAAAATGTGGGGGTGCACCATCCTGCTGGAATGTTATTTCATTTTCTACTAAATTGTCATCATTCACTAAAATTTGTGTAATCATAGGATCTACACAGTCTTGTAACAGATTTGAGTATGTGTCTCCATTGAGATTGCCTTCAATGAAGAATGGTCCAACAATATGCTTACCAAGAATGCCGGCCCAGACATTCAATTTTTGTGGGGTTTGCAAATGTGTTTCTATTACCAAATGAGGATTCACATCGTTTCAGTAAGGACCATTATTCTATTCACTTTACCATTCGACATGAAATAACTTTCGTCTGAAAAACATGTATTGTATAATAGGTTTGGGCTATTGGTCAATTTTTTGCTGAACACCACATAAAACTGCAGTCGACGATCAGAATCATCTTCGTTCAATTCCTGAACCAGCCTTACTTTGAAAGGGTGGAATTTGTAGGCTTTCAAAATCCGAAAAACATTAGTAGCTGATACACCAGACGCTCTAGCTACTTATCTATTTGTACATGTCCTAAAACTGCAACTTCAACTCCGTCATTTCTGACAGGTCGGGCTACTTCATGTTTTCTGTTGTGAACAGAAACTGAAGTTCGAAATTTATCCATTAACTCTCTAACGTATTGATGGCTCACGTTGTGGTCTGGATGATTCGTATTATAAATTCTTGCAACAGCTTCAGCACATTCATTATTTCGATAATAGGTTGCAACAATTTCTATTCTTTCCTCAGTAGAATGAACCATATTGGAACATTGAACAAGGATGACTGAATAATAATTCGTGAAGAAGTGACAGTGGCCAACTATCCATTTTTTTTCTGCGACAACTAGATTCAACAGAAACTACCAGTGCAAAAAAAACTAACAGTGTCGTTCATTTTAAAACGTTCACTACTAATTAAATGAATTCTACGAATCTAGAAGACCTGCGACAGAGAATTGTTCAGGAATGCCGATTTCTGACTCCGGACATCTTCAATAATGTAAGGAACGTTTTCGAAAGTATACTGTATTATTGTATGGAACTAGATGGAGGTCATTTTGAACACGCTATCTGTTGATTGTGTTGCCATTGATATAACTTTTGTTGATTTTGTCAATAAAATGAGCTACAGCGATTTTTTTTCTTAAATAAAACGTTCAACATTTAATTCCTCAATAACGAATGAACCAATTAAAAAAAATCACAGGAGTAATAGAGGGACAAAAGACCTTTTGAATGATGTGTCACTCGACCCCCCCATGCCATTGAAAAAAATAGGGGAGTAGTTGCTGACCACAGGGGGGATTTCTATACCAGAATTAGCCCCCCTAGAAATAAAAATTCACGTGTTTTTTGAAATTTTCGATTACATGTCCGTTTCAGACTCAAAGGGGAAGTCAAGTTTTCATTAGGACGCCCTGTATGATGAAGTTTCAAAGTTTCAAATTTAAGATCTGAAGTAAAAAAATGGGTATAACAAGATAAACCTATCATTTCAATCGGAACTACTGCTTTATCAATTTCAAAATGAACATTTGTTCGATTTGAAAAAATATTATTTGAGATCTATTGAAAATACTTTCCCAACACCAGCGTTAGCGCCCTCAAGAAATCATTATGATCTCCTGAGGGCGCTAACTTGGTTAGCGAAACGTGCGTCGAGAGAACGTTATTTTTGTTCTAGTGTTGAGAAAGAGTTTTCAATAGATTCATTTCATCCCAGAGGTCATATGATTCAAATACGAACTATCAAATTATTTGAAATGTTTCACTTTGTTTCATTCAATAAATAACCACTAATGTAGCTCAGAAAAAAAAACGAGGCTCTACCACACAATACTGCAATTGTCACCAATTCATTGGCGGCAAATTTTATCAATAATTGGAAAGCCGGCCATTGTCCGGCCAGGTCACCGGATAAGGCCAATTGACTTTTATCTCTGGGGAAAGTTGACAGATTTAATTTTTAAATTGCCGTCCAATTCTAGATACGAATTGAAAGCGGCAGTGATGCAAAGTTTTGCTTCTCTCACTTCTATTGAACTAATTANTATTTCAGCCGACTAAAATTTTGAAAAAAACCCTGAAAATAACTTGTGCCATAAATTATTCGATTATAATCAACTTTCTTATTGTTTGTTCTTTTTATACCGTTAATTTTTTCTCAGTACGAATTTTGTTTGTTCGTTGGACAAATAAATTGATACTTGTGATGCAGTGTTTGGAACCTTTGGTGTAGTAATGAATATTACTGGACTTTCATCCTAACACCAAACCGCTTTTAACACGTCGACACATGTTTCGATCACCCCTCCTCTTGAAGATGATCACTTGGTGATCGAAACACGTGAGGTGTTGAAATAACGGTTTGGTATTGGGATAAAACTTCAGTATTATTTATTTTTCGAGTAAATTGATGTTATCAACACGTGTTATAGTTATACTGTAATATTCCAGCTCTAATGTATGCCAGCATCTTCGGTAACGTTTCGGCCATCATCCAGCGGTTATACTCCGGCACGGCAAGATATCACACCCAGATGTTGCGAGTTAGAGAGTTCATACGCTTCCATCAGATCCCAAACCCCTTGAGGCAACGTTTGGAAGAGTACTTCCAACATGCGTGGACGTACACGAACGGCATCGACATGAATTCCGTGCTAAAAGGGTTCCCGGAATGTCTGCAAGCAGATATTTGCCTTCATTTGAACAGGAATCTTCTTCAAAACTGTAGCGTGTTCGATGGAGCCAGTCCAGGTTGTCTGAGGTAAGATATGGTAATATGTATAGGTACTAAGTGTGAATGGTTTTTAAATAAGCATGGTGACTGATTTTCATAAATAGTGATTGGAGATTTCTATTAATGACTTTTTGTACCTCTTTAATTTCATGAGAACTGAAAGAGGTATACCGGGTGTCCCACATTTTATGTGACAGGCAATATCTGATTTGTTGAAGGAGATACACAAAAATATTTCATACAAAAGTTTTAGGAGTTCATGAGAGCTATATTTTGATATAATTTTTAAATATACAGGGTGTTTGGTGTAGGTGCTACAGAC